TTAATTCTGCTCAATGTGAAAGCACGCACGTGATGGAGATTTACCGCTGATTACAGAACCGGCTTTACTGACAAGATGCGCGTTAAATATCGCATGCGATTTATCATGCAGCCCTACACCAAATACACAAAATAATGTTCTTTTTAGCAGCATCATATGACCCCTTTAACACTGATTTGATGCTGTAGGATTGAAAAGTAAACCTGTAATTAAAATAAGCTGTAGTTTCTTTCATTTAGGCAAACATTAACACAAATGTTTGGTTTCAGGTGGCTTATTACAGCAGAGCTTATCCAGCCCAAAGGATATTGTTGGCTAGGTTCTGTTTTTAATCAATGTTAGTTGTTAAAGCAGCAAGTTAAATTTTTTACCATATTAGATCCAGAAAAGCATGTAGAAAAGCACTACGTAGCCAACACCAAATTTTAAGAAATTAGTTTGGCACCCATGCTCTAAAACGAACTTGCATGCCGATGCACATAAATCCACTGTTCGGGCATCTTTTGTGTCTGTGAAGATCCTGTGAAGTGTTTGTACCTGTGAGGCTTCTGATTCCACAGTCTTCTTCAGCAGCTGGATGTCCTCAGCTGTAGGGGTCTCTGTCTCCATTGAGTACAGGGGCATCCCTCCTTCATTATACATCATATACTGCACATACACACAAACAAGTACTTTGTTCACACCTGAGCATACATCGGTCACAATGTTTTGTTTACAGCAACTTGCAATATTAATACAGAATTCAAATCATGTGCGGTCAAAGGTGTGTGTATATTAGCTATTTTATAAAAGCCTTGAATGTGGCTCATCCAAAAAGAAATTAGAATGTGAACCAATGTTCCCTCTAATTTTTTTTCTTGCTGAGCAAAACTTTTCTTGAATGGATGGACATTTCGCCCACTTGAGCAAAAATATTCGTTATACAGACCTGTACAGTGCACACACAAAAAAAGTGTAACTTTTAACTTTAATGTGATATTTATATTTGATTTGACCTTGATGTAACTAAATAATGCACGTTTTAGATTACCTGAAATCAAAACAGTTCAATTATTTGTAATAATATAATATAATAATATAATATGAAAAAATGAAGCAGATATTGCTCAATTATTTATTAGGTTTATAATATAATATAATATAAAAACAAACCGAATCATTTAAACTGAGATCTGTAAGCTAAATATATATATATTAAAAAAAAACATGAATGCTTATACAGTTATCCAAGTAGAGTTTAGAGTAGTAGAGTTTGCACACGACTACACCCGTGTGTGACTGTAAATATCTCAAAGTTTTGTTACCGTTCTGTGCTCATCATCTGCTATTTCCAGCACTTAATCAAGCCACTCTTCTTTCAAACACGATGGAGTTTTATTTCACATGTCATTGCGTTTGCTCTCGTGTTGAGCTATTTCATCCGCAACCATTGCAGTATTTGATTTCTACAGCGACTCATTTGGCGCACATCATTCTCTTTCTAAGAAACCTGTAAACCACATTCACTGGTTCTTACTCTATAGCGGTTTGCCAGAGCATTGCAATTACTTCACATTTAGTAGAATTCAATCAAATGGCTTTCCCAACTCAGTTTTTTGCGTCTGTCCAGTGCTCGGCATATTATTCTTCTGCGTGGACGCAGCTTAGAGGGGACATTGGTGTGAACTTAGTTTGACCGTTTTGAGACTTTTATCTTTAACTTAAGTATTACATAATGTTGATGCCAGATTTATAATTCATGATGAATAATCTTTTTGTTTGTACCCATAATGTCACAATAATACATCAAGAGAAAAAAACATGATCAGATGAGATGAAGCACCTTTCAAAGCATTTAATTTACTGAATTATGCAAAAAACAGGCATCAATAGTTATTCAAATATTAAAATTTCCAGCAAAAACTGTGCTATTGAATTATTCATATAGGATTTTGTTCATACCAAAGATGAAAGTAACCCAGATGAATGCATAATAACTGTTACATTTACAGAAATAAATGACTCACCTCCTCTTGAGGCAGACCGGGCCGCAGCTGAATCTTTGTACTCTGTGAAAATCCAAAACATGCAAGTTGACAAACACATTCACAGGTTCCCTCATCACATCTGATTAAACGCTGTGGGCTCTTTTTGTGTTTGCCCTCCGAGCACACTGGTGACTCTAGAGAGATGAGCTGTGGTAATTACACTCGTCAGGAGTAGTTTGGAGTTAATTCATTCTAATTACGTTTAAGAGAGAGAGAGAGAGAGAGAGAGAGAGAGAGAGAGAGAAAACAAGCTCCCCCTTATACTTATCAGTAATTAAGGGACCCATGCTGTTTTAGTTACACACAAAGCTTTGGGAATAAAGGTAAATATAACTATACAACTACCAATACCGAAGAACCTGATAAAATGCCTCTTGAAATGATTAATTCTCAATTCAAATACATCTAATAATATATGACTCCACTGACAGTCTGATTGTGTCCTATCTGATTGTCTTTACATGTACACACCTGTTCAGACATTTGGGGTGAATAAGATTTTTTAAAAATGTTATTCAAAGAATCTCTTAAGTTCACTAAGGCTGCATTTGTTTGATCAATCAACAGTAAAAACAGTAATACTATGAAATATTATTATTATTAATTTAAAGTAATGGTTTTCTATTTTAATATATTTTACAATGTATCTTATTCCTGTGACGCAAAGCTGAATATTCAGCATTTCTCCAGTCTTCACTGTCACATGATCCTTGAGAAATCTTTCTAATATGATTCAAGTAACATTTATTATTATCAATGTTGAAAAAAAGTTGTGCTGCTTAATATTTTTTGTGAAAACTGATACATTTTTTCATTTATTTATACATTTATTTGAAATAGAAATAATTTGTAACGTTACAAAGTCAATCTATATTCTCACTTTTGATCAATCTGAATAAAACAATGAATTAAAAAATAAAGAAAGAAAGAAATTAAAAATTGAACTTTTGATTGCTAGTGTCAGTGCATAGCGGAGGCTGTTTACCTGGGGATTTTGTTTTGCTAGCTCCTCTATTTTATGCCACATTTCTTCTCGCTCCTTAAGTTTGTACTTCTCTCTAATGAAGAACAGGAAAACAGAGTTTAGGATATGCCCGAGAAAACCACTCGTAAATGTATGTGGACACATATGGTTGCCACAACTTGCCTGGTAAAATCGGTTTATAAAACAAACAGACCTTCCATTTGACCAAATCAAAGACAGTCAACTGGGTTTCAAAATCTAGAGAACTGCTTATCTAGACATAGTCTCTGGGCATGTGCAAAATAACAACTGCTGACAAGATCATCCCAGACAGTTCATGTGAGAACAATCGTACAATCTTCAAATCTCCCCCATATTCTCTCTTTCTCCCCTCATTCACTTACTTCTGCTTCTCAGCCTTGTACTGCTGAGTGCAGTCATCAAACAGCTTCTGGTTCATCTCCATAAAGAGCTTGAGAGCGTTGTAGATAAGCCCATGGATTGTCCTGCAGGAGGAAACACAGCTCTATTTGAACAGAACGCTTTTTTCTTATGGTGTTTTGAATATGATATGTCTTAATGGAAACTCAGGTTGTGACAATTCCAGAAGTGAAGTTTGATTAACAAGTGTGGCTGTACTTGTTCCAGTGGCTCTTGGAGTTCTTGTAGAGAGCGGGAAACATGATGGGGAGGATCTTGGCGGCATTGTCACTGATCAGGCTCATGATGTACTCATTGTTCCAGTAATACAATGCTCTTTCAGCAACCTAGAACACACATGATCATTACAGATCACCGTTACACGCATATATGCTAGTATTATAAAGCTTTTCACCTTGGTAAGATAACAAGTCTCTCAATGCTCAAGGAGTTTGAAAAGTACTATAATGCTGTAATACCTGGAAGTGTGGACTTGATACACACTTGGCCAGCTGTCTAAAGAGGGGCTCCATGACTTTAACAAATTCTGAGGGCTCAATGACATCCAAGATTTCCTCCAGCTCATTCAGAAACATCACCTCCTTGGGACTGTGAGTCTTGGGCCAGAACTTTAGCAGGCCCATAATCACCTGATGCAGATGAACACAGGAGGAGGCAAATAGCTGTGAGAAAGCCGTGTTTGCTCTCTATGCCCTAGCCATGCTCAAGTTCACCACGAAAAGAGAATTCAAACAGAAAAACTTGAAAGAAAATGTTATTATTAATGACAGGAAACAGCAAAGGTGCAGTTGTGCTAAGGCTGTAAATCTTACGGGTTCAGTGAGGCTGCTGTCCTTTTCCAAAAACTGCACCACACAGTAGGCCAGCTGAAAGCACAGGAAATTACTTTTTTCCAAAAAGACATTACAAAGAACACAATAGGATGACTAACACTGAGCCACTGCTGTTCTTCATTCTATTAATACATTGTGCAAAACATCATAACCTATAAGACTTAATCATAATATATATAGACTATGGACACAGAGGAAGGGGTGGGCGATATGCCAGCAAAAAGTATTTTTTTCTAATGTGGTTATGCAAACTTCATGGGCGTTTTGACCATTTTCAAATATCACTGTCAATGAGAAAATGTGAAAGAGCTTGTTAGAAAAAAGGTTCATCTTCATGGTCTAAAACTGACCCATAACCAAATCCCCATAACTAGTTACCTTGCTAATGCTGTAAAACTTTACTTGCGCTTGCCCTGACACTTTAAAACATGGAGAGAAATGATTGAACATATTACCTCAAATCAAATAAAATCTGGAATAACCATTCCAGAGGAGTCAAAAAGATCTCTAATATGCTGTAGTGTAAGAGATTATAGTCTGCCTCGACCCAGCTTCCACTCCAAATTGTGTATTAAACTATGCTCCTTTCTCTACAAAGAGCTTAATTATCATATAGATAGTTCTTTCCGATCTTAATCATATGTAAATAGTACCTCCGGAGCGATAATTTGTCACTTATAGCGTGGGAGAAGCAGCAGGTCGTCAAGAACCATCTGCTGACCAAAAGGGTACATGAAATAACTGCTATGGATTCTGTTTAATCTTATCACCTTAACATTTGGTTGTTCCCACTTGAGTCTACCGAAGATGTGGGAACGGAAGGCTATCACTTTCATTGTCATCCGCAATTTACATTTAAAACGAAACTTAATTTACATGTTGAGCGGGAAGATGAACGTAATACTGTATAAAATGATTGAGCTTAGGATGTTCAGGGTTCAGTCTGACTCCGTTGAACCCAAGGTACTACATGTACTTTGTCACTACTATTCTGTAATAAAAGTTATTCTTCATCAAGATCTTCGACGTCTTCACTTTTTCTTACAAGAGTAACAGCAATAATGTTCAGCTTTAAAAAGAGAGAAGCTTAATATTTTGGTTCAGATTTTTTTTTCAAATGCAAGCAAATAAAAATTGTATTTTTAATCACATAAGCAAAAGTGCTCCTCAGCTGCATGCTAATATTCAGTAATACAGCACAATTGCGAGTCTGTATATTTTTCTCCAACAAAAACAGCCCCAAAAGAAGCTAAACAGACAAGCTGAACTTTTAATAAAAACAGTGAAACATCCCAGTGGTGTTGAACTAAATGATTAGCTCTCTTGGAACACCACTCAGCCAATCAATTTTAGAACTGTGGTTTAATGCAGTTATTGAAAGTTTTGAGAATACTGTGACTTCCACAGCAAAGTATTTTGCTCATAATCATCCACCCCTATAAAAAACAATCATTACTACATAAAAGTCCTCAACAAAAGAGTGTTCTCCTTAAGTGTACCTGTGGGTGATGGACGCTGAGAGACTTGACTTTGTGTAAAGGCAGTAGCACTCTGATGAGAAACATTTTGTGCTCCTCTTTCAGTGGCAGGGCAAATCCATTAATTATGCTGTGGGAAGAACGTGAGACCGGTCATGTGACAGACAGTTCAGCAATAAGAGAAAGACCTCCTCGCGGGTTTGTCATGGCAGCACTGATAGTGGTCACACTCACCTTCCTAAGATTTCTAAGAGCTCCGCAATCCCATTGTGATGCTCCGTCTCGTATATAAACCTACAGTGCGAGATCAAGGACATCAACTCAATGGATGAATTCTGGAAGAGCTACCCATCTCACCTTTTGAATGCCAAACTCGGCTGATTCAAAGACAGACTTGTTACTAAGAGCTCAGTTTCTGTCTACCATTACAAAGTTTATGAATGAGAACATATTTATTGCAAAATGAACCAAACGTAAAGGTGGATTAGTTTGGCGGACAGCTTGCCTATAAAAAATATTGTTGATCTGCCGACGGATGTAGGCTCTCAGTCCCAGGAACTTTCCATAGATCCTGTGCAGGATGGTTTTTAGGAAGTCCCGCTCTCGGGGGTCTTCACTGTCGAAAAGCTCCAGAAGCTGAAAAGAAATAAGATGACCTGAAGTCATTAGCATAATCATAAAATGTGTTCTGAGACCCAATCCCAGTAGCTATGTTTACATGCATCCAAATAATTTGTTACTAATCAGATTGATGGCTCAATTGGACTGAAAGCCTTCAAGTAAACATCTCAATCAATCCGACTGAGCTCGAGCTAAATGAAATTTTGTTTGGATTAAAAGGGGTGGTGTTGATCTGAAATAATCAGAAAACATTAATCATGTAAACGCTTAAATCCAACTACTTTCTCAATCGGTTTCAATAACACCTTGCCCACATGAGCAATGCCTTGATGCATATTTTTACATGACGTTTTATGTCATAAGAACGTGTGTATGTTTATTGACGTCTCATGTCTTATGAACTGATCAGTGGATGAGACTAAATATAGGGCTGGGCGATATAGCTAAAAAATATATCAACGCTATATGTTTCATATCGTCTAGTATCGATAATTATTGACATTTTTTAATAACCTTTTTTAAAACAGAGCAATAGAATTTTTTTTTTGAATTTAACCACTGTATTTTTAATTTGCCCACTTTATTAAAACAAACAATATATAGGCATATATATTATTTTTTAACAGTCAAACACAAAATAAAATTTAAACAAATATCTCTTTTCTTATGTTTTATATGCAGATTAAATAAGTCTTAAGGAAACTTTTGACTTGTTTCCCGAGGCCACAGGAGGGCGCAATGAGCAAAATAATGAAGCGCATTAAACGGTCAATTCAAATAACTGTCTATAAAAACGTGCATAACATCTAAATTAACATATATAAATCAAATATAATTTTGTAAACTGCATAAACAATTATGAACAAAACAGCATCATGTGTTTATGCATTGCTTAGCCTAATACAAAGAGCCAAATCGCCGATCACACAGATTGCATTTAAAAACAAATGAGACGCAGTGAAATGAAATAAACCTTCACAAATTTGTGTCGCGTTTTCTAAACGTTACATCTGTTTTAACTTTGCATGACTTTCTTTGCATCTCTTTTGTGAGACATGAGTGCAGCAGTCATATTTGTCTGTCTAAAAATGTGCTGAATATGTGTTCTGTGTGAATGGCTTTGTTTCGGTTTTAACCTAATCAAGATCTTCTCCGCATTGAGCTACTACATATTCAGACAATGAAACACCGACAACAGAACAACAGACTGGAGATATTAGAGATTAAGAATGTCTACGAAGTATATGTATCCAATGAATATAATGTTAAACATTCAGTATTGACTGTATAGCTGATGTGCGCGAGCTGA